GGGGGTACAAGGAAGATAATCTAAAACTGAATAAATGTTGAACTGCAGAGGAGCTCACTTCTCCACCTTTTTTCCTCTCCCACAGTATCCTTGGGATGGGAGAGTCTTTCATCAGTTGGTTGCAGGGATTTGGCAATAATACAAGAATAGGGCTTTGACTCCTCCAAATACTAAAAAATTCTTATCTTGAAAAGAATGTTTTTTGATAATGAACTGGAGCCAAACTGCACCATGTGCAGAAGAAAAAGAGGATTAAAAGATGAAGGAATAAAAAACAAAACTGTCAAATTAGGATTTACTCAAGGGTTTATGGAGTGTGATTTATTTGCTTTGTGTAATGAGTGTTGGATTACAAATTATCCAAACAAAATTGGATTGGACTGTGTGTAGATACTGTATGTTTTTGTTACTGCATTTCTTGTAGAGAAGGCTTCTTTCCATCACTACTTCCCAAACCTGTCTTACAGTCACTTAATCAATATATGACCCCATGGAGATATTAGAGTAATTTGCCGTTTTCTTCTTCATTTCAGTTTACTGGTTAAGTGACTTGCCCAGGGTCACACAGCAAGTAAGTATATGAGGCCAGATTTCAACTCAGGTTTTCCAAACTCTAGAACCAGCACTTATCCACTGCAGCGCCCTAGCTGCCCTAGTCAGTATGGCTACTAACAAGTAGCATTCTTCCTATTGCATCGCATCACTTCTGCAAAAGTCATTTTAAAATCTGAACTTGGTGACCTGTGCATCTACTTTAGTCTCCTTAGAAAATAAACCTTTTCCTTGCAATTAACAGTTTTTTACTTTTTCAAATTTGNTCTACTTTAGTCTCCTTAGAAAATAAACCTTTTCCTTGCAATTAACAGTTTTTTACTTTTTTTTTNTTGTGCTTGACATCTAGCCAATTTACCCTATGGAATTCTAATCCATGGAATCCCACCCATCCTTTTTCTAATCCCTTTAAAATTTGTTCTCCCCTAAATTATACTGTGTCATCTTTATTTTTTTGAAAATTCTAGGCTTGAGGTGAAATTTTCACAATAAGTTTCTCCTTGTTTATATAAATCAGATTAATGGTTTCTTTACCTTTTGAAAAAAGGAATTTATCATTGAGGCAAGTCAAATTACTGCCTGGTTTACGATGGTAAAATATTTTAAGTCCTTAGTCACTGATAAATATCTCTATTATGTACCAGACAATTAGGGTGAGGGTTAGGGTTAGAAAGAAGAACTACAGTAAGGGTAGGACAATGTGTGTATTTCTATAGTGGTGAATAAAGGCACCCTTAATGAATGTAAGATGTTGTTAAGGTATTCACATGTCTAAATGTATTTGTTTTCTGCCTGATNAAGAAAATTTTCTCAGAGGGAGAGAAACAACATGATCAAAGCATATTGAAATATCTACTCATTCACAGTTAAATGTATGCTTACCATTAGGGAGTCTACTGGTGCTCTCACATTTCTATTTGAAGTATTCAAAGTCACACATGTAGAAACAAAGGTTTGATGAAGCCATAGAAAATATAGCCAATAACAAGGCTTACATTATTTGATAAAACATAATTACTTCTTTACTAAAAGGAGCCCTCCCTAGAGACAAAATTTTGTGTGGAGTTTACTTAATGAGGGAGGAAGAGGTTTATGAATGTAAGCAAATGTAAGTTGTTACTCTCAACTTATTTCTGAGTTCTCAGACATTCAAGTAGGTACATTTGCAAATTTCATCAAGTGAACATGTAAACATAGTAATTCAAGAAGGAGAAAATAGGAAGGAAGGAAGGAAGGAAACAGGAATTAAAAAAAGAAATAAGGAAATGGAGGAATTGATCAGACAGTTTGACAGGATAGCATGAAGTTAGGAAGCTACCCTGCTGTGACTGATTCATACAAGATGATGCCAACAAGTCTTTATTAGATACTATACTATCTATCAGAAGGTACTTTCATCTATCCTTTTACTCTGTTTTTGGGAGAGCAAATTAAATAGGGCTAGTGATTTCAAAATTGTTCTGATAATGTTCTGGTTCTACTTATTCAAACTATTTTATGAAATCTATAATAGTGTTTGCACTGTAGACAGGGATTGCAGTCAGGAATACTGGTAGATCCTGGACAAGTCCTGTAATCATGTTTGCCTCAATTTCCTTATCTGCAAAAATGAT